CCCCCCCCCCCCCCCCCCAAAACGCAAACAGCTACCTAGAGAGGTATTTACATGATCTTCAGTTTAAAGAGAGGAAAGACAGCGGGAGGTGTGGAAGGCGGTACTGGGAGGGCCTACCACTGGCTTTCTGGATTCTGGGGGGGCGGTGGACACCCCTGCAGACGGATGGCCCTGCAGTGGGAGCTGCCTTCCTGGAGGTTATGAGGAAGGAAGCAGGGCCCCACTGTCCCTCTGCTGGGACGGGAGCCCGCGGCACAGGTAATGGGGCAGGTCTGCGGTGCTGAGAGCCCGGCCTCTCCCAGCCTCTGGCGGACCAGCCTCAGCCACGAGAAGTCAGGCCCGGCTGCGGTGACCAGCCGTGGGCAGCCAGGGCGGCCGTGTGAGGTCCAGAGAAGTGCCCAGAGTCTGGGACGGTGGGCGGCGCAGCGGGCGGCACGTGGGCCTGGTGTCCAGGGAGGCAGGAGCTGGCGGGTTTCCTGGGCGGCCGTGGGCTGGGCGGGCTTGAGCTGGACAGAGGTGCACCTGTCGTCTTGCGTGGACACAGCTGGAGAAGGAGGCGTTCCCGAGGTCTCTGAGGGGGCGCCGGTCCCAGCCCCGTGCCGGCGGCACGTGTGGTCCTGTGCCCTCCACGGGGGATGAAGCGGCAGAGAGGAGAGAGCTCTGGGCGTGGCCTCCAGCGGCATCAGCCCACCAGGTAGCTGTGCATCTCTCGGGAGTTGACACTCAGGACCACACCGGAGTGATTCCCTGGAGGCACAGAGATGCCAGGCGTGAGCACACGCCCAGCCGAGGGGCAGAGAGAGGACGGAGGGCCGTGCGGGACATGGTGTGGCCTCAACCGGCGTGCGGGGCATCCCGTGCTTCCTGCAGCCCTGCGGGTCGTGCCTGGACGCGGGCGCGGAGGGGTGGGCGTCTCTAGGTTTCCCGGGAGGGGGGGTGACTGAAGGTGGGCTCTCCTGGTGCCGGCACAAGCAGTGGACCCAGGGGGCCTCCGGGGGTGAGGCCATGCCCGCCAGCAGCCACCACACTCACTGCGCTGCAGTGGCCGGCCCGGCGTAGGCAGCAGGGGGAGGTAGGAGGGGCTTTGTGCCCCCCGGGCAGGGGCACTGCAGGGCGGCGAGGCAAGGCCCCAGGAGGCCGCCGGAGGGAGAAGGGGTGCAGTGACGGTGAGAAGGGCAGGGGTCTGCCGGGGTCCTGGGCGGGGCTGTGTTCTGAGCCTGGGGGCCGGCCGGAGGCGTGGCCGGTGGAAGGAGCCGGCACGGGCTGCCAGGAGCCCCCCAGACCCCCGGGCACGTGGGGAGGAAGCGGCCCAGAGCTTCCAGTGGGGCCGCCGGGGGGCATGGGATGGTGAGCCCCGCGTGCCGGCGGAGACCTCGTCAAGGCGTGTCACCTCACGGCCTCGGTTTTGTCATCTGTGACTTGGGGACGATAATATGGCCTCCCCTAAAGGACGGTAGGGGGTGTCCAGAAGGGACTGCCCCTGAGGATTTGGGCAGGGCCTGGCACACACTAAGTGCTCCATTAAAAGAAGCCCTTATTATTACGCCATCATTGCTCTTCGGGGCTTGACAGCAAAGAGCTGCGGAGGCAGGAGGGCCGCGCTCTCATCTCCCTGGGACGCCCACCCCTCTGTCTGAGCTTGGGAAGCCCGGGTCCACCGGGAGCCTCTGCCATCACCTTTCACGTGGGGTGCGACACCGCCTGATGAAGGTGGGGGTGACCACCCGGGAGGCCGCATGGGGCCCCGATGCTCTCCAGCCACCGCTGGAGAGGGCTGAGGGGTCCTGGGGCGCATGGGGGAGCTGGCCCCGAGCCTGGGCTGCCACGCAGGGGAGGGGCACAGAATCGGCTGCGCCTCTTATCGGCTAAGTGACTTGGGAGACTGAGTGGCTGCTGTGAACCTCAGCTGTCCCATCTGTGAAATGGGCGCACGGCCAGGGCCTGCCTCCCAGGCTGGCTGCGAGACTGTGCCGGGAAGCAGTGGCCTGTTGAGGAGTAAGTGCCCAGGAAATCAGGGCTGTCGCCACCGTCCCAGGAGGCCGCGGACCACGGCCCCGAGAGGAACCCGGCTGGGCCGGTGGCCGTGGGAGACGGTGGGGCTGCGAGGTCGGGGAGCTGTGGAGGATGGGAGTGGTCAGCTCCCGACCACTCCAGGGAGAAAAGAGGCACGCGGGCTTTGGGGTCCGGCCGGCCTGCGTCTGGGTCCCAGGCCAGCCGCTTGTCCGCTGTGCTGCCTGGGTGAGCAACGTCACCTCTCTGAGCCTCACCTCCAATCATTTAAAAGGTGAGGACAGGCATTCCACCTCCCACAGCTCCGGGGACACAGTGGATGCGGGTGGCGGGGGGGATAAAGGGGCAGTGACAACACAACCCATGACGGGGACACATTTCTGGAGCGCCCTCCTGGCTGCCTGTCTGGGGGCCTCACAGCAACCCAGCGGTGGGGGGGTCGCCGTGTAGGGGGTGCAGAGAGCAGCTGTTAGGGGTGTGGAGAGCCAGCGGGGTGGGGGGCAGGTGGCGAGGGAAGGGGAGGGGTTTCGGGGCGGTCGTTACCTAGAGTCTGTGAGTGGAGCTCATCATCTATAAACTCCTCACCCTGGATGGCACTCTGCACGTCCTGGCTGTGGCTCACGGGGCTCGTCATTTCCTGTTCCTTCTCGTTGTGCATCTGGGCGTACACGGTCCTGCCGGGGCGTTTCCTGCGGGACGGAGGTGGGGACTCAGGGCTCTGCCAAGGATGCCTGTCCCCAGAAGCCCCCAGTGGAGCCCTGGGCCATCCCTCTGTGTGGTGCTGACATCGCTCCTGGGTCTGCCTCCTGCCCTGTCTCTGCTCCAAGCCACCTCCTCCAGGAAGCCCTCCGTCCCGTGAGCTCCGGCGGCCCGGGGTTTCCCTCTGCCCCCGCACACGGGGTGCTCGCTGTTCATCCGTCTCCCCTCAGGCATGCTGCAGGGAGAGGCTGTTTTATTTTCTTTCAGGTCCCCGTCACCTTGCACCTCAGGGCTCTGGCTGGATTGGCATGCGTTCCCACATGGCACGTGATGTTGACTGGCTCTGAGAGGTGCTTGCTGAGCCCTGCCCGGGGTTCTGGGGCTGGCTGCACCGTCCTCAAGTTCCCATACCCTCCAGGGCAGAGGGAAAGGAGAGCAAGGGCACAGCCCCCTCTGCCTCAGCTGGGACTGGGCTCGGGGCCCCTGGGCCAGGCTCCTTCATGTTCAACACCCCAGTTAGTTGGAGCAAAACCCCAAAAGAGCCCATGATCCCAATTTACAGAAGAGGGAACTAGACTCAGTGGGAGAGTGGGCTTCCTCAGAGCCACTCACCGACACTGGCAGTTCTCTGGAAATATTGAGATGGCAGGATGCACATTCAGGGCCCAGGGTGGGTTGGGCCATGTGGCCGGACCCAGTGGACTGTAGCACTTGATGGCTGTGAGCCTCTGAGACTTAGGGGCTGTTTGTTACGCAGCCAGGCCAAGCCCACGCTGACTGCTGCGTCAGTCAGGAGAGCCCAGCTCCCTGGGCTCCACAGAGCTTAAAGCCTCTGGACAAATGGGGCATTTCTCTCTGCTGCTGCAAGGTCCTCCCCTTGCTCCTCCCTCCCCCTCCTCTGGGGACAAGGTTCCTTCTGGGCCATTTACACTGTGTGTGATAAATCTGGAGCAATTTGTGGAAACTGCAATCTGGACTTCAGGGGGTCTGAAGAAGGCAATCGAAAGAGACCAGAATTCTGCCCCTTTGACTCCCGACCTGCCAGGCCTACCTTCTGCCCACCCCCAGGCAATCCTGCCGTCCTGCAATTCTCAAGTGCCCTGAGAGAAGCCCAAATGGGTGCACCCAAACTGTGGTCCAAGGAGAAAGAGAAAGAGGTGGGGGCAGGTCCCGACTCCAGCCACTGCCTCCAACCCGTCTCTGACTTGGGAGGCGGCGTCTAAATCGTTTTCTCGTTCAGCCTCTCAGGACTCACACCCCATGGCCTGCCTCAGCCAGGCCTGAGCCGGGCGGTTTTCACAAGGTCCCAGTTAAACACGGCGTTATGGCAACAAGGGCGACGGGCACAGGAGAAGGTCTGCAGGAGCTGGGGGCCTGCGTCTGCGCCTGCCCATCCCGCTCCCCTGCCCATCCCGCTCCCCTGCCCATCCCATCTTCCCCTCCCTGTTCTCCCCCTTTACTTCTTCCCTTGTCCTATCCTCCCTCTGCTTAGTCTCCTTTTACAGATGAGGAAACTGAGGCTCAGGGAGGGGAAGAGACTGGCCAGGACCACAGAGCTGGTCAGCAGCAGGGCAGGATGGTGGCCTGGTCTTCGAGGCTGACTCAGCCCTGCTGCCATCTGGGCTGCCCTGCAGGTTGGGGGGCTGCCACCCAGTGTGAACGGTGCTGGAGGACAGAGACCCAGAAGCGTCCAGGGCTCGGGGGAGGAAGGACCCTCGGCCTCAGAGGAGCAAGCGGAGGGTCAGCTCCGTCTCTGGCTGTTCCCAAGGGCGACGCCAACCGGGGAGACCCCAAGGCCACTGGAGCCAAACCAGCAAGACAGGGAGAAACAACGGGCTCAGATCTGGCAGCTGCATTTTGCAGGAAATGAGTCTGGTGACACTTTCTGGTCGTTTTGCTCATTCCCAGGCCCTCGAGGGTGCCCACGAGTCATCCCAGCACCCAGGGTTATTAAACCCATTTCACAGCTGAGGACTAAGGTCAGAGGGGGAGAGAGGCACCACAACCCCTCCCGATGACCGCACGGTGTACTTGCCACCCACCCAACCTCGGCTCAAGCCCCCGCCCGCTCCCACCCTGGGTGTCAGCCGCCCCCCGCTCCGGCCCTGGGTGTCCCGTGCAGCCGCTCCATCTGGAGGCTGGAGCCCCCTCCCAGTGGAGTGTCTGGCACACGGCAGCTCTGGATCATGCTTGCGGAGGGGAGGGGTGGATGAGTGCTGGGGGCAGCGTGGGGTTTGGGCACAGCCTGGGGTCAGAGTCCTACTCCTCACTCCTCAGCTGTGTGGCCCTGGGAAAATCACGTAACCTCTCTGAGCCTGGGTTTCCTCATCTGTAGAATGGGTGGGTGGAGCAGAGAGGAGGATGGGGGTGGAAGAGGCTCCTTGGGTTGTGAGCGGTCGGCTGTCTCCCTCTGGGATCAAGGTGACTCAGAACCAGGCTGTGGGTCCAGACAAGGCCCCTGCCCACCCCAGGACCCGTCGCAGGCACAGCCACAACCCTCCAAGGCCCTGCTGGGAAGCTGCGCCCCGCCCCCACCAGGCCCCGCCCTCACGCCCGGTTAGCCCAGGGAGGCCAGGTGACCTTGCCTTTTGAACTTGTGCAGGATGAAAGCTCCCACCGCGAACAGCCCTACGAGGACGACCGCCACCGCCCAGTAGCCGCCACCTCCTCCCAGGCTTGGAGAATCTGTGAGCAAAGCAGCCTGTGAGTGGTCGGTGTGGGCACCGGCCAGCCTCCTGGCACCCAGGACCCCCACTGAGTAAATCCCGGCCCTGGTCCTTCCTCCTGGAAAGTGGACAGAACTCCTCCGTCCGCATTGATGCTGGCGTGCACACACGGCTGCACACAGCGGAACGCAGCTCCTCAGCTCCTGCAGAGATCCTTGCCCAAAGTGGGGAGGACAGTCCAGGGTGGGGGGCGGGGACAGAGTCACCTGAGACTCTAAATGACGTAAGTTAAAGCAAGAGCTCCATGCTGTGTCCGCGGAGAGCACCGTGAGGCCCTTGGTGTGACTGGGTTTTAACCGGAGGCAACCACCTGTCCAGGAGGAGCATGTGTGCAGGTGGCAGAGGGGTTCCCTCTGCCCCCAGCGTCCACAGTAATGGGTGTCGTCTGAGGGGCCTGGACACACGCCCGCCCCACTCTACAGAGGTGAGCTCAGGCCAGGCCTCTCACCTGTGTCCACGTCCCTCATGGCCACCAGCACCCGGACCCCACCACGCAGGAGGAAGCTGATCTTCTGTGCGTTCAGCACCTGCTGGATGGCCGTGAGCCTCTGAAAGCACAGAGCGGGGAGTGAGGGGGTCCTCAGGGACCCAGCAGAGGAAGCGGGAGAGCTGGGCAGATGTCCACCCTGACCCTCCAGAGCCATGGGGCTGGGGGAGAGCCACTCAGCCTCTCTGGGCCTCAGTCGCCTCCTCTGTAAAATGGGAGTACTAGCCACCAATGAACTCTCACCAAGAACCTACAATGGGACACAAGGTGACCCAAATGTGGCCCTGCCCTCACAGAGCTCTAGTTTTAGTCAGGACCATGGCGTGTGGTAAAGTTGGGGGAACCCAGGGATGCTCCAGGAGGCCCCCAACCCCAGAAATAATCAGGGGAGGCTTCTTGGAGGTGGAAGACCAGGAAGAAGGCAAGACAGGGACAGGAGAGGTGACCCAGGCAGGCGAGTGAGCCCACACCTGAGGCAGAGAAATCCCAGGAGGTGATGTTGCTGGATCATGGTGGGGGGAGGGGGCAGCTGGCCTCTGGGGCGCCCAGCTGGTTTGGCAGTTCAGGAGGGGGGAGTTTTCCTGGTGTTCAAAGGGAACCACTCAGCCCATGTGGGTGTCAGGTGTCACCCTCTGCACAGCTGGGTGCAGATGTGTTGGGGGAGGGGTCCCCCTCAGGGATGGGGTCCCCGTGGCTCTGCTCCCTGGGCCTCGGGGGGATATACCCTGGGGACTCTGCTGACTGCTTCCCTGAGTGGCGTTTCAGCACCTGGGACTCCACGAGGCCCGTTCCCTGCTCACGGAACAAGGGTCCTGAGTCGGGAACTGTGTAAACGGCAGGCCAACAGCCCCAGACCTGAAGGGTCCGGGAAGACGTCTGGTTCTGCCCCTTGACCTCATGGCCTGGAAGGGTCGCTGCACCTTTCCGTTCTCAGGTCAACGTGAGGATTCGTAGGAGCATCGGGGGTGGCGCCCTGAGCCCCATGCTCCGCACGCAGAAAGGCAAGGCTGCTGTCAGGGGCCGTGGCGCGTGGCTAAGTTTTCTCGCTGACTTCGGGCATGTGGCAGACTCTGAGCACTCAGGACAATGGGGGTGGGGTCCCCCCGTCTCTCACCTCCTTCCCTTCCAACCCTCACTCGGAAGCGCCCCGAGTGGGTGCAGCCCCCAAGCCCCGTGCTGGCACCTGGGACCCCCACAGCCTTCCCCTCTGCCCTCAGCTCCTCGTCTGAGAAGTGGGTCGATGCCTCTCAACCCGCCACTGACCCACCTCCAGAGACACCACATCAGCAGGGGCTGGGGGCTTGGCTGGGAGCCCCCAGGTGCGGATGCAGACGCCCTTTGGGACGGGCTGTGGGTCAGTCTGGCACAGGCACAGGTCCACCACGAGGCCGCCCGGGAGTAACTCAAGCACGGTTTGGCAGCCAGAGTGACAGTGGGGCTCCACGCCCGCGCTGTGCTTCCTGGTGGGGGCCTCACTGAGCCTCACTTCCCTCGTCTGTAAAATGGGACGATACCACCCACCCACAGGGGTCCTGCTGGTCTTGTTGTATCCGTGCCTCCATG